TTCTGTTAGGAACGACTTTATGGTAAAAGAAAAGCTTCTGAGAAATTCTGAATCAATTACCAGGGCCAGGGGACGGGAACAGAGGTGGTTGGGGATAAAGTACGCTAATCTGCTGATAGCTTTGGGACCAACAAAAGACCCTAAATCCCATCATAGCTGCTGCCAGCAGCCCAGGGCTTCCGGACCCTCAGCCAGCCTGCCCTGCCCCACACTTGGTCTTCACACACGTCCTGGACTTGTGTGCTCCTGCAGACACGGTTCTGCCCGCACTCCTGCCTTTCTGCTGCTGTGTGAGGCGCTTTATCTGACATGTACTGCGGCTCCCACCCTTGGTTCACAGCTGCACTTATCCTCTGAGTAAACTGAGTTCAGACAGCAGAGCACGAGGCTCTGAATGTGGGGAAATCCCTCTGCTGTACGCAGGCCCCCATTCTGCGATTCAACACCCAGAATACAACGCTTTCAGAAAGCAGCGTGTCTGTTTTACACCCGCCCCTCACACACTGCGTTTCCCCTCTTCAAATCCTTCCTTTCCCAGTGCAGTCAAAACAAGTGTCTACACGGCAGCGGCAGAGTCTGCGGACTGCTAAGCCATCTGCAGGTGAGGCGCAGGGCACAGGAGAACACTAGGCCGTTTCCCAGGAGCCGCCTGATCAGCCTCCAAGTCGGGTATCCCAGGGTTTCTGGGAGCAGGGATGCATCCCTTGGAGCCCCAGGCAGCCCAGGGAACCCAGGGACAGCTGACCACGTGGATCTGACTTCGCGGTTGCTGATCTGCATCTCTGGCAAGGTGTAAACATTGGAGAGCACATCTCCATGCGCTCCCTGACATGTCAAAGTGTCTGGGTTTCTTTATTTCCCAGCCAGCCTTGCCCTGCGGCTGCCCTGGGCATGGGGGTCACCTTGGAAGGGCTACGCCATCCTCCAGAGCCACCACTGCCCTGCAGACCCCTGGCATGGCTCCCCACACACGCCAGCTACAGCCCTGCAGCCTGGAGAGGGGGGCAGGCATCACACCCTTAGTGCCTCTTCCTGCCTGCCTCCTCCCTCCCCCACCTTCCCTGGGCGCCCTGCCAAGCCTCCTTTATCTTCTATCTGGAGGCTCTGCCCACAGAAGACACAGCAACAAACGGTCACCCAGCAATGGAAAAATAGATTTACACGGGACGCTGTTTAGGGCTTTATTTCCAAAGTGTGAGAGTAAGGAAGTAGAGCTGCTTCCGTTCACAGTTTACAAATGAGAAGCAGGGGCTCTGCCATGGAAACCCACAAGGGGTAACCAGCGATGCCTGGGCTTGAGGCGACGGGCGCCCTTCTGCTGTGCACCTATGAGCCTCAGGTCCGATAGGCAGGGCCGAGCACCCTTCAAAGGCGACTTCACCAGGGCGTGAGGGAGGTGCACAAGCAGAGAAATGAATGGGAATTGTTTTGACAGTAGTAATTGTGAGTCTACTGAAAACCAACCATAATGAAAATGCAAGCCCATCAAATAAAACCCCTGCTATTGCTTCTGTCACATAAAACCACAGTATTGTTTTCATACCACTTGGATAAAATGTGTAAGGATTTATTATGACACAAAGTCATGGGAAAAAACACTGAAAATCATGGTACCAGGCTAGACTATTTGCATTTTCATGTAGATTCAAAAAAAATTTACTGGGTGCTTCCTAGATTCTGTGCTCTTTGCAATTGCTGCTCCAAACCCAACATGATTAAACGCTGCTTCTTTTCAGTGTGAGCATTAGTTTGGATAAGCCTTAACTAAGGTTTTCCTGGCAGAGCGGAAGTACTCTGCACTGAGTGACCCTTTGTGCGCCAGCACCCATGTCACTGCAAGTGGAGCTGCCCAGGGGAGGGTGTTTGGTATAGTGGTTAGGCGCTGAGTGAGATCTTGGCTCCACTCCCAGTGCCAGCTTCTCGCTGGGGCACAGCCTGTGAGGAGGCAGGCAGTGAAGGCTGAAGAATGTGGTTGTCTGGCTCTCAGTGCGAGATGCAGATGGCGGCCCCAGCGCTTGGTACCAGCCTGGCCCAGCACAGCCTACGAGCATTCAGGCTGCAAACAAATTGGATGAGAGATCTCTCCCCACTTCCATTCTTGCTCACAATTAAATAAAATACAAACATTCAGAAAAGTATAATCAAAGGAAATCAGGACAACATATTTTCATTTTTAAAAATGCAGGGCTAATTTTTAAAGGAATGTTGCCCAAGTTTCAGCGGAAGTTCCTCACCCTGCACTGCCCTGGGCCCTTGCGGCACACTCAGCGTATTCACTCCACTGATGGCTCTTGGTGGCGGACCTGACTTCTGTCCGTGGTCCCCACAGGCTCCTCAGCTCCAGGGCCTCTCACATCACTGCGTCCTGGGCACTTGAACAGTCCAAGATGTGATTCCTGGGCTGCCATGTGAACACGGCTGGGGTGACAGCCACACATCGCTCCATGTTCCACTGGAGCTGTTACTTTACGGCACAGGCACCTCGGTGTGGCAGAGGCTGCCTCCAGGTGCCGAAGCGGGAATTTTAAAACCTTGCTCTGAAGACGATGTTACAGGGAGCACACCTGTGCTTGTCACGGCATCGCTTGTCTTTGGCTTTTGTGTGTAATAGTTTGTAAGCCACGATGCAGAATGCTGTGCTTCCCAAGGTTTAAAAGTAACCTAGTCCATCCTGGGCTCAATGGAGCAAATGGACCTAACTGTTAGAAAGCAATGCTGGGTTGTTGGGCTGCCCCCATTGCCAGCAATGGCTGTTTCCCATCACAAGAGGGGACAGAGTTCCCCTCCTCTGTCCAGGGCTCCACTGGTGCAGGACACACGTGAGAACCGCATGGAGTCTTTGCAGTGCGATCTCCAAGCTTTCGCTTTCCTTGAGGGTCTAAGGCATACCCCGATACTGCAGGACCTTGGAGCAGACACAGAATCCAGAAGAGCGTTCCCACGGGTGCTAAGGCAGCGGCAGTGGCCAGTGGCCTCCTACATAGCAGCTTGCAGTGTGGGAGCCTGGCTCGGGTGGCCGGAGTCTCTATTAATCCCTTTATTGAATGCAGCTGGGAGCTTCCCGGCAGGAAGGGGAAAACAGGATTTTATGCTGTCCTTCATTCTTGTATACCTGAGGGGACTTCAAATAGTTTTTGGAAAGTGAATACATATTATGAAAACACCAAGCATGGATTCCAAAATTTATCTGCCAAAATAAACATATCCTTTAGTTCATACTTCCAGAAGTTTCCACAGCGCCCTTCTCTTTATACCATGACACTTCAGAAGCGAGGGAGGGAGGTAGATAATCTGAATTCGCATCAGGAGCCAGTTCTTCTGGAAGGACAAGTGGGGTCCCAGAACTGACTCTTATAAGGAATTGTTTTGAATAATTTGTTATAAAGTGATTCTGGTAAATTTGAAGGACTCATCTTTTGCATACCTTTGTAAAGTCCCCAATTGGCAAGAGATACACATCACGTTAGTAATGCCATGCCCCTCATCACAGAACTAGCAAGCGCTAACCTATTTTACATTTCCCTGCATTATTCTGTGTCTACACATCCACATCAAACTTAGACAACTAAGCACATGAGGCGGGCAGCTTTGGCATGCCCCGGCGCTGAGGCTGGGCAGCTTTGGCATGCCCCGGCGCAGCAGGCGCAGCTGCCGTGATGGCAGTGTCCTGGTATCTTCCTGGTGCTTTTCGTGCAGAGTGTGTCTGACTGTGTTCTTGCACAATGCTTCCTCCAGCTCCTCTCGATGGGCATCCCATTGTTTTTCTTTTCAAATAGCAAACAGCACCTTTACCTTCCGTATGCAAACATATTTTCTCAGTTGTGTAATTATTTGCTTGACAAAATCTCCAAACTGAAATTGCTAAGCAGAAACATGTACCGCTTGTGAAGTCTTTATGAAACATTCTGCCAAATACCCCCTGGAGACGAGCTGTCAAGAGGAGGCCTGGCCCTCCTGCCAGCAGCGCCCTGTGGGTGGAGATGGAATACTGCAGTCTCTACCACCACTCAGGCATGGATATTGGAATTATTGGCTACCTGTATTTTGTTTAATTTTCAGTTAATATCCTTTACTAGCTCCCACAGGTCTAATCCATCTTTAAAATCATTGGTTGTTTTTACAATGAGAACATTAATTCTTTTAGTTTCCTAACCAGTATGCCTTAAAGGAATTTATATGCTAAATGTCTTTGTTTCTTCATGAATTGCTGGCTGCAGTGGCCTTCCTGGAAAACCCCACTCCGGATTGCTAGGCCCTGCGCTGTCAGCCTCGCGCTGGGAGCAGGCGCAGAACGGGCCCCCTTAGCCTTGACTTCCAACTGCACAGTCTCCTTGCCGTCATCCTCTGGGTAAACGCACCTTGCATTACAAGTTTGAAATGATGTGGGCACCCTGTCCCACTGTGTGTCTCATGCTGGGTCCCGTTGCTGTGCTGCTCTGCAGTGTTGCAGGATGCACTGTGTAACCCCCACCCCCTTGCTAGACAAGGCTGTAAGCATGGGGCTGTTCTTGCATGTGAACATCATCATTTTTAACAACACCCCACTTGCAGAGGTTCTCTGGCTTTGTGACATCCCGAGGATAAACAGAAGCTGACATTACTGGGGACCCACATGGGGGACAGGGCTGAGAATTGGGCCGCAGCTCCGAGTGGACAGCACTGTGTCAACTCCTGGGGCACCAAAACCATCTAAGACCAGAACGCCCAGCTGGAGAGCAGATGCCCAGCTGGAGAGCAGACTTCCCTGATTCTGATAGCTTTCAGGTGAGTTTTCAGCAGAGAAGCCCAAATACCCCCAACACCAAGGGCCTGGCCCTGCCAGGTGCTCGGCTGAGTGGGCCTTGGATGCCAGGTGAGATGGGCCAGCTGTGCTTGCCAGCCTCACAGCTGAGGAGCCTGTGTGACAGTCCGTGTCCCCCTCCTCCCAGAAGACCAGCACCCACTGGAAGCAGTGCAGCCTGTCCGGCGAAGGCCCAGCTGCTGGAGCCCTCTGGTGTCTCACCTGGCCTGCCGGGAGGGTGCAGCCTGGTTCCAAGCGCAGCACACAGCCCAGGGGGTGCTTCCTCACCACACGCCACATGACTGACACATACTGGGAACACCCTTTATTCCCCACTGCGTCCTGCGCCACGCCTTCCCCAGGACTGCCCAAGGCCTGTGTAGTCTTCAGTAGCTTATGGCGTGTTTCTGCTTCCTGTTAAATGGGTTGTAGGGTTTCACAGTTGTAACCATCTGGGACAGTGGTCCCTGGTGACGGAAGAGGTCGACTTTCATTTCTTTCCGTAAGACACTAGGACAGAATGGAGAGAGACAGAAATGATACACCGAGAAAACCCGCATCTGTCACCAACACTAACGAGCCAGACAGAGACGGGAGGGGGAAGGCAACGAGTCAGGAAGACAACTGAGAGACGGGGAGAGGATCAGCAGACAAGGCATCTGGGACTGTGGCTCCCAGTAACAAGTGCAGAGTTAGTGGCCCGGTGCAGCGACTCAGCGGCTCAATGCACACCTTGCAAGCCCTAGGGTCCCATATAGGTGCTGGCTCATGTCCTGGTCACTCCACATCCCACTCAGCTCCCTGCTTATGGCCTAAGCCTTGGTACCTTGCACGCATGCAGGAGACCCGGAAGAAGCTCCTGGCTCCTGGCTTCAGACCAACTCAGCTCTGGCTGTTGGGCCTTTTAGGAAATGAACCAGCAGATGGGAGATCTTTTTCTCTGTCCTTTTCTCTGTAAATCTTATCTGCCCTTCCAATAAAATTAAACACATCTTTTACAACAAAGTGCAGAGTGAGTGGAAACTGTGGGCAGCCTGCATCTTCTGCACACGAGCACCCTGCAGACAGAGCGCATCCTTCTCCAGCAGTAACAGCAAGGACACTTCCCACCGAGACTAGAGATTTGCCTGCATGATAAGAGGAGCCTCTTACCACAGGCTGGATGGCGTGACTCTGTGGGTGCAGAGCCTGGCCGGGGGACAGGATGTTGGGGTGGGGGATGGAATGTGAGCCAACGAGGGACCAGAAGCCCTTGCATTTGCCCTGATGCAGGAGCTCTGGAGTTGGATCCCCACCGGCCGGGGCCTGTCAGCCTCGGGCTCTCCTCACCGGGCCGGGGCCTGTCAGCCATGGGCTCTCCTCACCAGGTGGGGCCTGTCAGCCATGGGCTCTCCCCACCGGGCTGGGCCTGTCAGCCATGGGCTCTCCCCACCGGGCTGGGCCTGTCAGCCTCGGGCTCTCCTCACCGGGCCGGGGCCTGTCAGCCATGGGCTCTCCCCACCGGGCTGGGCCTGTCAGCCATGGGCTCTCCCCACCGGGCTGGGCCTGTCAGCCATGGGCTCTCCCCACCGGGCTGGGCCTGTCAGCCATGGCCTCTCTCTTTGCTGGTCTTTGGGGCAGCAGCTCTAAGTGAGTGGTTTGCTTTTCTCTCGATGCCCAGCAGGCTTGCTGTTGGAAGCAGATTTGCAATGTTTCAAAAATACATTTGGACATTGCCTTGGCAATGAGTTTTTAGGGAACCCAAAGCTCAGTCCATAAAAGCAATAATGAATGTTTGAGATTTTATCAAACTAAAAAGCTTCTGGGCCAAGTACAGTAGCCTAGCAGCTAAAGTCCTCGCCTTGAATGTGCCAGGATCCCATATGGACGCCAGTTCTAATCCCGGCGGCCCTGCTTCCCATCCAGCTACCTGCTTGTGGCCTGGGAAAGCAATTGAGGACGGCCCAATGTCTTGGGACCCTGCACCCATGTGGGAGACCCGGAAGAAGCTCCTGGCTTCGGATTAGCTAAGCTCCAGCCATTGTGGTCAACTGGGGAGTGAATCATCAGATGGAAGACTTTCCTCTCTGTCTCTCCTCCTCTCTGTATATCTGACTTTGCAATAAAAAATAAATAAATAAAAAAATAAAAAGCTTTTGCAAACAATCAACAAAACAGAAGAGTAGGGAAAATTGCAACTATTCATATCTGGTAAGAGGTTAGTGTCCAAATTTTGTAAAATATTCATAGATCTAATGGCAAGAAAATATGCAACTCAATTAACAACAGGATTTTTCCAGAAAAGAGGAATAAGCAGCCAGCAGGCGCAAGTCAGGTGGACCCCATCACCAGGACAGCACAAGCAGCGCCCGCTGTGCCCTCCCCAGACGGCCTTCGTTCAAGAGGCAGGAGGTGAGCGCTGGCACGGCCTCACACAGTTAGCAATGTAGACGGTGCAGCCATCATGGACAACAGCATGGAACTTCCTGAAGAACCTGAGTCCAGAATGACTGGCCTTTCATCTGCCCTGGCCTGCTGCCCTGTGGAGACACCTGTTCTCTCGTGTCTGCCGCAGCATCGTTCACAGGGGCTGGAAACCACCCAGGTGTCCTTCCAGGGCACAGAAGAGCTGGGCATTGAGAGGCAGACACGTCTGACGTGGCTCTGAGGGAGCAGGTGCTGTGGTCACAGGCCCAAGGCAGCAGCCCTAACACAGCCGTGAGGACCGCAGCCGGCAGGCCTGCTCCGCTTCTGCCACAGGCCGTGAGGACCGCAGCCGGCAGGCCTGCTCCGCGGCCAGAGTTCTGCAGCGGCCTCAGCTACCAGCACCAACAGGTCTCCATGCGGTAAAAAGCCTTTTCTTTGCACTCTTGTCTTACTCTAGGACCCACTGTACTACACATGCTGTATAGATGGCATCAAGGCATAGGCCTTAGAATAATACTAACACTTACTTTAAAAGCACTATCGATGTCAATATTATTTAGGATAAAGAGAATCTTAAGCGTGACATGAATGGGAGACACAGGCTAGAAAGTTGGAGAGTTCCTCTCGTGTGCTCTTAGCACACAGCCTGGACTCCAGACGCACGGCGGTGCTGATGGAGCCCCATCGACTGGCACGCACTTTCCTCTCCTCTACACAGGGCCCTGCATCCACAGCGGCACAGGGTGAGGAGCTGCTGGCCACGGCATCCACACAATGTGTGGTGGCCTATTGCTGGGCCCTGTAGGCCCGGGACAGGTCAAGGCCTGCTCCTCCAAGAGTGGCTTACCAAATGAGCCACTTCCTTCCTTAGGGAAGTTTCGCTTAGTGTCTCAGCTCCTTGAAGTTTGTGTGTGCCTCAGTTTTTCCATCTGTAAAAGGGGAGAGAATCAGTCTGTTCTTCACAGGGCTTCTGGGACAGTTTCCTGAGTTAGTGGCCTTGATGCATAGGGCATGTGGCCCCTGGAAAGCACCTGGTCAGCAGGTGTGGCACCAGCACTTCTGCCAGGCATCGCCCTCAAGCACTGCCTGCTTCACAGACCTGGCACACAGATGTGTATGTGGCAGGTCCTGCAGCCACATGTGAAAACACAGTGAAAGGACATTCATGTTCAGACCCAGCTGCAGCAGAGGAGGGCAGCAGGTGCCACTGGGCAGTGGAAGCACAGCAGGGTGGCTGCCCTCCTCGTACCACTGCCTCGCAGAGGCATCAGAAGCCCTGAGAGCAGGGTACAGGCTGGGATCTGCTGCTGCAAGACCAGCTCCCAGCCAGCTGTCTGACCAGGTGGGATCTTCAGGCCCTCTAGAGGACAGACAGGCCCTCTAGAGAGCTGCCCCACCCTGAGCTAGCCCACAGCCTGCACCTGCCAGGCTGGGACTTCCCTCCACGCTGGCGAAGGCGGGAGGTGACATGATCTGCTGACGGCTTCCAACACAGAAGCCGTCTGCCCCTTTCCAGCGCCTGGAGCCTGTGCCCAGTGTGCAGCAGTGAGACTAGCAGCGTCTCCCTTTGGGCAGACTTCTGGCTTTTACAGAAACGTGTGCTTGGAAGAGCAGTCCTTGCTTACAAGGAGCATGCCGACCCACACTTGTGCAGAAGGGTGGGTGCGTCCCGCCGTGGCCTCAAGGACTGCTGCCTCTCCTGACACATCCTCTGGAGTCCCAGTGCCACCACCTTCCACACATACAATGGAGCTTGGTGTGAGTAACAGAGACATGTGCAAAGCCTAATGAAACCACCCTCGGTTGAGCAACGAATGTCTTGGTGCCACCTGACTCCATGTTTGACCTTTACTGCACTCAGGATCCCCTCTGCAGCACCCCTGGGCATCCCCGGCGCGATTCCTACTCACCAGTGCAGTTGGGAGTCTGGTGATGGGGTTGTTGGTGGAATATTAGAATTTGCTGGGTGGGTGGCTGTGAAATGCACCTTGCCAGTATATCCTGGGATATTTGCAGCTCTAGAGAGAGAGGAGTCAAAAAGAGGGAAGAAAAGAGGAAATTAAAATGAGGGTTCCCGGCTCCCTGAGGGCTGGACCATGGGCACAGGTACACGGCGTGCCGAGGTAGACTGCCCTTCTGGGCGCTGGACCACGAGTTGTCTGGACAGGGCAAGGCACAGGTGCAAGGCATGCTGAGGCAGACCGCCCTCCTGGGGGCTGGACTGTGGCCTGTCCGGATAGGGCAAGGCGCAGGTAGAGTGTGTGTCATGGCAGACCACTCTCCTGGGGGCTGAGACCTCAGTTCTAGGGCCTGTTTTCCCGTTTCAGATTCACACATTTTTTTTTTTTGCATGCCTGGGTTACTGCTGAGTTCTGTTTCATGATGAAGGAAGATACCAGTTCTTGGTAAGGCAGAAGTGTGCTCCCCACACACGTCTGGAATGAGGACTCCAACACTGATGGGCAAAGGAGGGGCTGCGGGAAGCTATGGAATGTGCAATGAGAAGTTCACTTTGGTGCAAAGAGTTTTAAATTGTTGTTTTTGTTCCCCATAAAATGAACTTTGTATGAACTTTATGAAGTCCTTCTGTTTGTACAATTTCAATAGTTTTTGCAGCAAATTAACTCATATTTTCATCCATGTTCCACAAACTTTTTGAAGACTCCTTGTCCATTCACATCTGTGTTCTTGGTTATCAAATGTCTTGCTTATCACTGAGAGCACGCGGGGTTCGCAGATGATTTCCTAGGGGTGCATACAAGGACAGATGGCTGGTTCTCTTCAGTTCCAGACTCCTCTGCTGTCCCATCCTTGTTCTACCGGTGACAGAGGGAGAGGGCGGGCAAGTATGGGAACACAGGGTAAGGCTGGGCAGTGCCCATGTGAGTCCCTCTAGGAAACACACACAGGTAGGCGGTGGCATGAGCAAACTCAGGAGTGTGGAGAGGTGTGTGGGTCCCTGAGGTAGTAAGTTGGCTTACCTAGGTTAGTCCCAAGAGGTAGGCAAGGCTGAATCCCAGGGCCAGCCTTCACATGACGCCAAGTCCTGTGTGCTGTTCACGATGTGGTACCCCAGAGCGGGGACAGAAGGGAAATACACAGGCATGAAGACACCATTCTGATCTGGGCTTTGCTGGGCCTCCTGAGCCTTGGAGCCTAAGCCATGACATCGACCAAAGCGGCCCGTGAGAGTGAAGAGAGCCAGTGGCCAAGCAGATTGTGATTCCTGGGTGCCACGGCCACATGGACACCACGTGAGGACTCAGATGTTCTCTTCCAAGGGGGCAGGTCTGTGACTCTGCTGGTGAGCTCATGTTTGCTTGCAGCCAATGGAATCAGGGATGCCCTGGCACACTCAGAATGAGTGGAAATTCCACCAAGCACAATATCACAATCAGGGGTACAAATTAGTCAATTTTGAGAAGCAAAGTATGCAAGGAAGCCAGCAGGCACGGGAGGCCCCCACACTGAGCTGCAGTTTCGGTTCTGAGCCTGAATCCCACCCACTCGGTTACAAGATGTTGCTCAGAGAAGAGAGCTTTCTGGCCAAACCTGGAAACATCTTACCATTAACTTCTTAGGCTGCTCTGAGGATTAGAGGAATTCAATGAGTGTGAATGCAGGCTGGTAAGCCCTTGACACTTAGCAGGCACTCAACTAATTCCAGTTCAAATACAAGACATCAAAGCAGGTTGGGGAACATTTTTTTTTTCTTCTGAAACATTTGGATATTTATAACATCATTCATGGGACATACAAAATTATCAGTTTAAAAATTAGCCTGCCACAGGGGCCGGCATTGGCATGTAGAGGATAAAGTTGTGCTCTCCAGTGCTGGCATCCCACATGGATACTTGGATACTCCACTCTCCATGCTGGCATCCCATATGGACACTGGATACTTCACTCTCCATGCTGGCATCCCATATGGACACTGGATACTCCACTCTCCATGCTGGCATCCCATATGGACACTGGGATACTCCACTCTCCATGCTGGCATCCCATATGGACACTGGGATACTCCACTCTCCATGCTGGCATCCCACATGGACACTGGGATACTCCACTCTCCATGCTGGCATCCCATATGGACACTGGGATACTCCACTCTTCATGCTGGCATCCCACATGGACACTGGGATACTACACTTCAGATCTAGCTTCCTGCAAAAACTGTTGAAGTGTTTGGACCCTGCTACTCAGGAAGGAAGCAGCCTGCCCAGCGTTGATAATGGGGCCATGTGGGGAGTAAATTAACAGAAGGAAGATCTTTTCTCTCCCTTTCTCTCACTGTCTGAAGTTCAAGTACAGAAATAGACCTTACACATTAGCCCATTATAGATTTACTGAATTTGGAATCTTGTCTCTGACTGCCTTGGCAGGGTCAGAATGAGAGGTTTTGTGGGCCTTCTATGGTCCACAGACTGGATGTCCCCCATTCCTGCCTTAAAGAATTACACACATGGGGGGCGGGTGCTGGCAGTGAGGAGGCAGAGTTCCTGCAGATGTCAGCTGTGAAGATGTGCAGTGTTCAAGGGCGCCGTGCAGTGCAATCTCCCAGGAGCTCCTGTGATGTGCCACATGGGATTAGTGTGGCCTGAAATGGATGCTTCCCAAGGCTGTCCACGATTCCAGTGTGCAAAGCGGCTGGAGTCTGTGTGTGAGGAAGGCCTGGTCAGGCTGGCTGCAGGCGCCCGGCTGAGTGAAGCAAAGCCGTCCCACGCCAGGTACTGCCCTTTGGGATGGTCTGTGTGTGAGCAAGGCCTGGTCAGGCTGGCTGCAGGCGCCCGGCTGAGTGAAGCAAAGCCGTCCCACGCCAGGTACTGCCCTTTGGGATGGTCTGTGTGTGAGCAAGGCCTGCTCAGGCTGGCTGCAGGCACCCTACGCCAGGTAGTGCCCTTGGGATGGCTTGGATTTCTCTTGAAGAAATACAGCTGTCAGGTAGAGGGAGTCATGTGCATGACTGCCCCACACAGCCATTGAAGCGTCCCTGTGTGTTACACAGGAAACCCCCTTTTTGGGCGTGGGAGGTTTTTTCCATGGGCCCTGGAACACCTGCGCAAGGAGCATGTCTCTGAAGCTGTGGTCAGAAGTCACCAAGGGACACAGCCACCTGCTGCCAGATGGAGGCTGACAGGAGCCATCATGCCTTCCTTGGGGGGTGATGTGACATCACATCCAACAGGAGCTGGCCGCGGGCATGGCACTGATGAGGAATCCAGTCACCTCATCAACTACCACACTTGAAAACAAACCAAAGTCCTCTCAAGGCTGCTTCGGACCGACTGCACTTCACCCTGTGAGTGGGGAAGCCACAGAGAATTTCTGCCATCGGAAGTGTGACATGGTAGCCCTCTTCCCAAATAAACTTGGATTCTATTTACTAAAGATAAGTGTAAACGTATTATTGTCTAACTTTGCAACTGCTTTTTCTAAGAAAGCATAATAAAATAGGATTTGAATAATTTCAAAAATAATAAAGCCAGAAAGTAATTCAGCTAGAATTATACAATTAAAAGTTAAATACAAAATAAGGAAAAACCAGGTTATCTGTTGAATACGAATAGAGGCATGCAGAGGAAAATTTTGCCAGGCATATGACTTCTCTCTGAAAACTACAGACCTAACACCCACCCACTGTCCTCTACCTGCCTCTGTGAGTCTGTACGTGAACTAACTATTTGCCTCTCATGATAACCCTGTAAGATACCCATTTCATCAACAAAGGACCTGGGGCATAGAAAGTCCAAGTACTGTGCCCAGAGCCAACCCAGCTGGCAGGTGCCAAAATAGGATCTCCATCTAGAAGGCCCGAGGAAGGGCTGTTGGCAGGGCTCTCCAAGCAGGACGGTTCTGTCAGCTCAGACGCGGGGCATTTATTCAGGGTGCAGGGGGAAGTGCAAGTTGAAGCCAATGTCCTGCAAGCTGTTCACCATCAAGTACAAGGTAGGCAGAAATCTAGCAGGCCCAGCCCCGATGGTTCGTGTTCTCAGGGTTTTGTTATAAGAGTGCATGTGGAGAGAGCTGAGCAATCAAAGTGGCAAGGAGCAGGGCTGCAGAGCGCCAGCCGGGTGTGGGGACAGAGCTGACCTCCAGGACACCCTGAGCAGTTGTGTGACCTGAGACCAACACCCAGGGTGTTGGCACCTCTCTTGTAGGTGTGCTGGTGCTGGCAGGTGGGTACAGAATCAGTGCAAGAGGAACAGCAGGTAAGGAGGGTGGAGGAGAGTGTGGGTTCAGCTCCAGATTCAGGAAGGGTTCACCCAGGGGACGGAGAAGGGCCAGGCCACACTGAGCTTCGAGGCAAGGTGCAGGCGGGGAATGCGAGACGGTGGGGCACAGTGAGCTATGATCTGTGTGACTTCCCTGGCCAGCAGAAAATGGAAATAACACAGAAACCATCTGTGATGGCTTAGTCACTAAGCTGTGCTTCTCTCAATGCTTTAAGAGGCTGTAGCCCCAAGATATTTTTCAAGGATTATAGTTTTATTGTTATCGCTATCACCGGCTATTACAGAGTTTTTCTTCCTGTGTTCTCAGCTCTTTCACTTGGGGGAGACAGTGATGTCATCTAAGACACGGCTTGCATGGGAGGTCCCTGGAAGTGGCTCGAGGCCCTGCACCTGCTCCTTCCCCAGACTTCAGCACTCCTGGAATGAGTGAGCTGTCATTTCCTCTGGTCTCAGCCTCCTCCTAGGCAAACTGGTGACAGATCTGTTCCCTTAGGGCTTGTCTCCTCACCCTCTTTTGAAAAACAAATGAGGGAGTAGATGTGAAAGTGGTCTGAAAGGCAGAAGTGTTGGCTCATGGAAGGAACTACTATTCATAGTCAGTCCTGAACCTGCCTTGTGGTGCAAGTCTTTCTTTTTTAAGCTGCAACACAGCCCAGTGCTGGGCAGGGAGGCCTTCCTTTTCCCAGCTTAGACTCTTGCTGGGGCTGCCTGGAAACCCGGGCTGGACAATTCCTCTTTCTTTGCAGACGCTTCCTCACAGCCAAGGCTGAGGTGAGAAGCAG